TGGTTTGAAAAGTGTAGCTTTCTTTCTATAACTTGCATAGAGATCTCCATGCCTCCTTTTACCAGAAATTGCTTTGATTAATATAATTCTCTTTCAGCCATGATTTCTTTTGCTATTCGCTGCCCTCTTTGATGAGTGAAAAATGTAGGTGCTAGATTTCTCAGGAGGGCTAAGTTTGAGGGCAATGTGTGCATTCCTACCTTTACTGTCACAAATTGCTTCTAAAACTTTAGTTTTTATATTTGTTTGTAAAAGCCTGGAAGATTATTTTGCAGGACTTAGCCCTAAAGGCTGATTTTCTTGGTTCACATGCTAGCTGACTTCCGGTTTATGTTGGTCATGGAGGTGAAGATGAGAGATGGTGGGCAGGATAAGGGAGGCAGCTAGAATATCCTCTCCTTAATTAAGCACTTTCAATGGTAGTGACTTGTCTCTTCTGTGACTCCAGCTGCCACCATCAGGCCCACCATGGTTCTGTCATCCAGCCTGAGAGGCACACAGATCCCGGGTCCAGTCTTCCAGTTTCCTTTCTTTGATTCCCCCAAATTCCTGATGGTGTTAATCTGTAAATTACTCTATCCCTATTGTTACCAGTTATTGTTCTCAGCTATTCTATCACCTGTGCAATTGATTCCCTGCATTAAGTTTGCTTTCTTGTAAAGTATTGAAGTGGATTATGTTTTGCTGGCTAGACCCCAGTTGGACAAGCATCAATTCTTAGCTAGATATAAATAGAAAGATTTTAAGTTTAACAAATTTATCACTGGCAGTTGCAGAAGAGGATTTATGAAGGCTATTGTATATTCTAAATAACTCTAATCATATATTTACAATGAAACTACTGTTTGCAATAATCCTATAAAGTGTTCCTAATGGGATTGTAATTCAGAAGGGAATTAATTGGACTGGATATTTAGAAATACATGAGACACTTAAAACTTACTGGGAAAAGCAATTGGGGCCTTTGTAAGATAGTTTTATATAGTATATAAAAACTCATTTTCTTTTTTAATTTATAAAGTCAGTTTTTGTGTCCAAGCATTTCCTCCTGAATTTTTTCATTTTAGGAAGAGAACCCCAATGAGCTGGTATGAAACATAAACAATGATAGTAAATTATAATCTAACTATGATTAGAGAGCTGAAAACTGGTATATGAAGAGTAAGAAGACATACAAAAGTTGAAAATGTCTATGCCTAATGAAATCAAATAATTATAAATAAAATAACTGGATCAAGTTCCAGAAATAGGGCTTTTTCCTTTGTAACTACGTTTTATTTTCCTAATTTGACTCTAGGTAATAAGTATTATATCACAAAATATCTTTGCCTTTTGAGATATAACACAAGGTAAGTGTTAATAAGAATTACTCTAAAATCATTTAAAAGCTCCACATGCCTTGAAAAATTGAGGGTTTATTTTTTACTGTTGTATCTGTGTCTTACTCATGGAATCCTGCATTAATATGCTATATGTTTTTGACAGTCCTTATATATGATTCTTGCATGTCATTTATATATATGTATGTATATGTAAATATATACACACATATATACACACATAGTCACATTCAGAAAAATATTTCAGAAGGTATCCCTTATTTGGTCTTTCATGTGAAAGAGGTGACATTCAAACACACTAATATAACATGTAAAAGGGAAGCAGAGAAAATGATGTGTTCCCTGAAAGACTCTGTCCTGGCCATAGACAACATATTCATTGTGTCCTGAATGGAGGAGACAATGGAAAGAAGCTGAGGTACTGATGTGCACAAAGAGAGTTGATCAAAATAGGTTGCCATGATCTTTGTTCCCGTATCTATTTGAAGCTTTGCAAACAACATGAAAATGAATTTAAATGTCTCAGTTTCCAAATGATCATCTCTATGTGAACTGGTTCTACTGCTGTGTTCTGGGCTGAGATCTTGAGGCAGAAAAGTTTCCTATGTTGTCATTGCACTCATAACTGAAGAACTGCAGTAACTGACAAAGCCATTCTTTTTTTTTAATTTTATTTATTTTTGAGAGAGAGAGAGAATGACAGAGAGAGAATGAGACAGGGGAGGGTCAGAGGGAGAAGCAGACTCCTTGCTGAGCAGGGAACCCGATGCGGGACTCGATCCCGGGACTCCAGGATCATGACCTGAGCCGAAGGCAGTCGCTTAACCAACTGAGCCACCCAGGCGCCCCACTGACAAAGCTATTCTTAAAAGCCACCATGGTCGCTTATTTTTCAGCAAACCGTAAGATGGATAAAATTAAAAAAAATAAATCTTTTGATGTGGATTTATACAATCATATTTCTGTCAAACTGACATATTGTCAACAGTAATATGACTGTTTTTCCAAATAATATGTAAACCAAAAACATTCAAAACAAATATTCCTTTTAAAACATTTATTTTTATGCTAGTAAAAGGTGCCTGACTGGCAATCTGTCCTCTGTTTGAAGAACAAAATGCAGGTACTGGGATCCTTCCATCCCATCACGCCACCTTCCCATCTTCAAACTCGTCCATCTCCATGTTTCTTCTAGGTGTTAGGACAGTAACCCCACTTAGGTTCCAATCAAAGTGATGTTTCTCAAACTCTTATATGCATAGAGATTACCCGGGGATTTTGTGAAAATGTATGTTATGAATCAGTATGTCTAGGGTATGTCCAGAAATCCTACAGTGTTAACAAGCTCCCAGATGATGCACATGTGCTGGCCATTAGAGCACATTTTGAATAGCAAGAAATTAAATTTCTTGCCTCTTTTCCCTATAAACTGTATGCTCCTTGAAAATAAGAACTGACTTGCTTATCTCTGGGTACACAGTCACACATAATAAATATGTTTTAATGGTGAATTAATATATAAAGGTTTTAATCATTCTCTGTTCCCTGGGAGAATACCGTGTTAGTTTTCTATAAATGCAGAATGAAAACTCCAAAACCAAATGCATTCATATGTATATATAACCAAAATATGCTTTTGGCTTTAAAACCATGGTATTGGAATTCCCTTTTTAAAAAACTTTTAAATTTTAATTTAATTTAATATTTTTGGTATTGGAATTCCTGTTGAGGAATCATATCTGAATGCTTTATCCCAAAATAATAGTATCATAAAAGTACACTGCAATGAAAAGTAAATAAGTATGAAAAATCTTGTCTTAAGAGAGAAGGAAGATATGACTAGTACAATGCTGAAGCATTAATTATTTTTAGCTGTATGCCAGTATATTTTAAGAATGTAGAATGGATTTCTATAAAATATAAAGAATTACAGAATTAACAAATGCACCTCAACCAATCTAATATTTTTCTTGTTTTTGAATTTGGAATTACAAAATTGAACTAACTCTAAGCATTAGAGAAACCAAAATCTCATATGTCAGAACCTTTTTGGTGTGGGGGTGAAGGAGCTGATAGAGTTTTCTTTTCCTAATTTAAAATATTCCTAGATTCTTTTGACTTTCATACAGAAGACCACATCTGGGCCAGTGTTTTATATGAAAGGGGGTTCCAGAATGTCCTGTAAATTAAGGCGCCACAGGAGAACATGATGAGTACACATACTTTCTTAATATTTTCCTTTTCTGCTTCTGAAAGGGAAGATAAACCCATAGGAAAACCCAATGCAAGTAGAAACCAAAATGATCACAAAGAATTCTGGGATCCACAAAGCCCCGTTGCCTTTACTACTCCATGGATTCTCTGATTCATTGTCTTTCTCTGTCTCCTTCTCGCTCGCCCTTCTTCCTTTTCTTCTCTCTATCTTTGCAAAAAGAAAAGAATATTGATACTAGAGATGACAAGGCTCTGGTCAAATAGGAGGTGGAAGAAGGGTTGTAAAGATTGAGAGACTGACAACTGCTATTTTACTTATTCTGTTAGTATCCATATGCCTGTTAGTATGAAGTTGAATTGTTTCTATGGAAAGTTGTTTTCTAAAATGCTAAGCATTTTTGGATGTTGATGACTGAAGTGCGACAGCTCATATGTACCGCTGAATACTCTGACAGCATGACAAAATTTACTGGCTCCTGGATGTTTTATCTTAATGTACCTACAAGTGCCACATGCATTACAGTTTCTTCACGCTTAAAAGGTTTCTCGTTGTATAGGAGTATGGACTGTTTCCACCTCATGATTTCCTCATGGGGGCTTTCTCCCCTATCACTTAAGTGATTTATTTTCAGAATAAATCCCAATCACTCTATGTGGTAGTATTTTCATCCATGTGCTTAAAATGGTAAATTGCTTTCTATAAGTTATATTTATAGAATGGAATTCTGTACTGGAAATGAAAACAAAATATATCTGTGCTATTATCAACTTGTGTTTTAAAAATTAGGAACATAAAATATATGATTCATATTTGGAATATTTATAATCATAAACATAAGAATCACCCTCCATATATGCCATAATGCTATCAACATATTATTTGCTCAATATTTGATGACAAAAATGATAAAAAATACCCCATTAATATCACTCACTGAAGTCTTCAGTTTTTATTTCCCCAATCCAAACTTTCTAGTAAAGTGAGTAATTTCTGGGATATATAGATAATAAGATCAAGTAAAGTCTCATTTAGAATTATCTTTTCATCATTTTTTTAGGATTTGGTTAGCACCGCTTCTATCCAAGGATCTAGTAATTAAGCTCTCAGATATAAAACCAAAGTATTCTAAGCAGGATTGGGTTGGTTTGTATCAAGATAAACTAAAATCTTAAACACTCCATTTCCAAGATCAACTCAGAGAAATAAAAAGGCACTTAACAGCCAGGAAATCCTATCCTATAGGATCACAAAAAAGAAAAGGCTATTCAGATTAAAAGATACAGGTTGCTCCAATATGTCTGAATAGGTTTTATTTATAAAGACACTCCTCATATAGCAGTATACATTCTACATATTCAAGAATACTTAGGAGAAATGTAATTAACATTTCATTGACTGTTCAGGAAAAAAAAAAAGAACAAACAGTGCTTATAATGTGGCTATAATATAAACTTTATTTCATTCACAAATTTGAGGTAAACTGTTAAAACACCAATATGATTTACAGTGCAAACAACTTTATCTTTGCAACATTTAGGCACAAACCAATGTTATTAGGTGTTTTCTTTCTGATAGCATAGAAGACTTTTAAAAAATCCTTGTAATAAAATATTTGATGGGTTATTATAAGCCATCAGGTGGAGGCCAATTTGATGGAGGATAATTCCAGACCTCCCTTGATGATTTGTGGCTGACCTGTTCTCTCTGCTGTAGATCTTTTTGCTAAAGAATTGATAGAGAATTAATTTTCTAAAATGAGAGAGGAAGAGAAGAAAAAGGTGTATTGGTCAAAATCAGGCAAATATGACAATGAAAAATTTACAATACTGTGCTGCCAAATTTGGATCTGGAACCATTCAAAAATAGTGACTTCCATAAGAAGTTACCAGGGTATTATCTTACCAGATTTCTAGATGACTTTTCCTCCATTGCTGTGGCTATGCTATAGTCTTAAATATGGGCTATAGAAAGCCTCAGGATTCTTCCTATAGTCAAACGCTATACATTAATACTCATTTCATAACTTTCACTGTAACTTATATGAGTATATATGTGTGTGTATAATGTTTAGTGAGAGTGTGTGTATTATATATATGTGTGTGTGTGTCATATATATATGTGTGTGTATATATGTATGTTTATATATATAATGTTTAGTGTTATTACATGTTTAACCTATTGGCAAAGGGAAGCCTAAAAAATAACCCGAATGGAAAATCTGTAACATAGTTTTTAAAAAAAGAAAAGAGAGAAAGGGAAAGAGTCCTCTGATACTTAGTTCAACTAAATGGCTCTTCTTTCTCAATTGGAGTATCCAGTGCATATTTTCCTCATAAGCATATTTTATTTTCTATATTAAACCACAAGACTCTTTAGTTAAGTGTAGTTGAATAATCTGAACAAGGTCCTAGAACTTTCTTTTTCAATTTCTCTCTTCTTCTATGAACTTACACAGCTGTTTAGTTCTTTTGTAAACAGGGAAGGCTAGGCACTCTTGCATAGATCTTTTTAGCATATGAAACATATTGACATGAATATAACATATGTGCCAAAGCAATATTATTCAGCTAACATTTCAACGAAATGTAACATAAAATTTTAAATTACATATTTCTGCCTATATTTGATTCTTGTTTACTGTATCTGATCCAGAAAAAAAAAGACTCTTATTATGAAAAACCATCTCTAATATCTTTGCATTTTAATAGCATTAGAAAGGAATGGTTATTACTAGTTGTTTGTCTTGCAATTGCTCTAACATCACCCAGTGTCAATATAGCAGTTTGAGTTGATCAAGACTTTTGATTCAAATGGCGGGTGTCCAGGAGAAGGGCACTGACAGACACAGGTATGTTAAAACATGGAAAGCCAGTAGGATCATTTTGTTTATTGGAGCAAGGTAAAAGACAGGTTTACCCCTCTGTTTGAAGAATATTACCTTAAGCAAATCTGTTGCATCTTATTGCCTTAGTTTCTTCAAATAGAAGGCACAAGCTCTTTTCCTTCTCAGGGAGAATGGTGTGATTATTGATTACTGGCTCTTCACAGTAAAAAATAAAATATGTAGTGTATTAAATTATATATATATATTAATCTTATTTTCTAAATTCTCATTAACAAAATCTTTTTAAGATTTAACACTTTTGTTCTCAGGAATAGAAGCATCCTCTACTAAAATATTTTAGAAATGTCTTTTGCCACTTATTCGTTGTATAAATATGAGATTGTCAATACCGTAATTGAAATGAAATGTTACATTTCTCTTTATAATTGCACAACAAGTGGATATTCTGCCACAATTTAATTTTCATAACACTGAATAACTGCAAATCTCTTAATACCTACTTAAACAATACGTCCTTTCATAACTACAATGCTCTACATAAACAAATATCTCAGAGTAGAACATAAAAGACTCTTGCAAGTTGAACAGGTCCTAGAAGTCAAAGTAGGTAGCTATTTTTTCCAAAATGTTAGTATCAATTTTCATATGTTGGGTACAAACTGAGTAAGTAAGAAAAACTAGATAGGAGCATGGAGTATATATTATGTCAACTGCATATGAAATTTCAGATTAAGATCCATGTCATTTTTATGAGCTAAGGCAAACTATGATTCATATGTATGTCCTCTGTACAATAATATTTTTACTTTTCTTACCTTACCTAAAAGTTATAAAAAAAAAAAAAAAAACACCCAAAACATACTGCAACCTGATGCAAGCTATAAGGAGGGGTGAGGAAGTGATACCTAAGTACTTGGCTCCCGGGTAAGAGGAAGTAAATGGTCTCTCTGTACACGAAACAACTGAGTGGGGGCACTAGGATATTAGATATTTTGCAATATGCTGTAAAAGCTCCCATAGTAAAGTGCTCCTGTAATCTGATCTATCTCTTTCTTTTTTTATTAGTAAAGGTGAAGTACTGGCTGGCTTCCTTGCTTATATGACTGTTTTTTGTGCCTAATCTTCAGAAGGTATCAGCGCTGCTGACTTAAGTCATGCTGGTTATCATTTAGCTCCTGCCCTTCCTGGAGGGGTTTTGACAAAAAAAATAGGGAATTTTAGATAAATGAAATTTATGCTGACTCTCCCCACAGTGGCATGTATTTTAGTCTGATTTAGAGAAAGAAGGCCTATTTGGGGAAGATCTCTGACTTCTGTGATTTCCTTAATAATCATCCCTCAGGTTTTACTGGCTTTAAGGGATTTTATATGGCTTTATTTGAATACCAGTTGAGTACAAAGAAAAAGCCCGAGAAATACCTCTTCCAAGGATTTCCAGCCCTGATGGACTTGAGAAGAAAAGTTTTTAAACGTACCAGGTTTAGTAATTTAAAAAAAAAAAAAAAAGCTCCATTCATTCTCCTTAGCAATCATTTGAATAATAGGAATTTTTTTCCAAAAAGATCCATGCAGATTAATTGGATAATTTCCATGAGGGAAGACTTGAAATGGCAATTCAACTTCAGCTTCAATCAGAAACTCCGTGACTCTTTAGCCTGATCTTTGTTGCTCCATAGGGTTTTTAGCTTGTTAAGGAACCTCTGGTGCCATTACACAATTTTGTGCTGTGTAAAAGCAGGGACCCCAATGTTTGGGCAATTCTACAATCTGACTAGAGTTTCTGGTTTGCTTCCTAGAAGGAGCTTTGTTATACCTAAAGTGAAGTGGCTTTAATGAAACTCCATTGCTGGTGGCTAAAGGGCTTCCTGTGTCTAGTTAGAACATGGAGAGGAGGTGAATTGAGACCTTGAGACCCTTCTCACTGTGCCCCAGGGAAGCATTGTTAGCATCCAGGAGAATTTGGTTTCTAGAGTTTTCGTTTGCACAGATTCCATACTATGTTATCCATTGCCAGTGGGATAAAAGGGGAGGTTTTTGAAGAGAATTGATACCATGATTCTCATATGAACAATGCTTCATGTGATAGGCATGACCAATCTAAAGATAAGTATTTCAAAAGGAAAGAAAAAGTTAATTCTGTTCTATGGGGTAAGGCATAACAAGACCAGAAAGATATTAAACTTGGATGAGTTTGTATCATAGGTATTAATTCATAACAATAACAATAGTAACAGCAACAAAATATCCTCATCAGTTATTAGAGACCATTTGTGAAAAGTTACTCCAGATTTGTGCAATTGCAATCTCTTATTTATCAATGAAACTCTTGGTTTCGCATAAACATTTAGTCTTGTCCATTTGCTCCCCATCTGAATACGCTAAAACACACACACACACACACACACACACATCATTCATCTTCAGAAATATCTGAGGGTTCACAAAGAAAAGAAACGATTTAAAATATATGGATGTGACATTCTTTGTAGGCTAGTATCCTATTTCACAGTTTCACTAAAGCAGTCCTTTAATTCATTCCACCAGATCCTAGCAAACCATCCTAAGTAGTTCTAGATAAATGTATAGATAATTTCCCAAGTGTTACAGATTTCTTCATCAGGAAGTACTTTTAATAATTATTCTAATTTTTAAACAACATTTGATTCTAGTCTAATTCAGTCCCATTGAGTGTGAACTGATTGTGATTGAATATAACTGACTGTTGTTCGGCCTTTAGCAACCAGTTGCATTAATGAATTGCCTGAGGAAGCTGTCCCTCAGTTCGTCTGCAGTTATACTGAAGATTCAGTTGTTATCTTATTAATCACATAATCATAAATATGCTGTCTTGCTTTCTTCTAACTCATGAACATAGACACAAGAAAAAAAATCTAGAAACCGCTCAGGGGTTTGGAAGTCTCATTTATATTCTTTAGTAATAGACATGTTTGTCATGTTGGTCAAGGCACATTTTTCCATCAGCACCCACATGTCTACCTCTACTCAGATGTCAGTATGATACATGACGGTTGCCCTACTGTGATAAATAGTGAGAAGAATAGATTCAAGAAAAGTAAATACTAAATTGTCATGTGTCCTTCCAAATATGTGAAAATACATACAGTCAAATTTGACCTCAGTCAATTCTGACTTTCCAATTCAGCATGCTAGTTAGGAGACATGCTTTCAGAGTTTCACTTCTCAGAACTCCCTGCTCACTTCTAACATTTTGACTTATTCAACTCAAATAATGAGTCAAAAATCAAGAAGCAATTAAACTGAGTGAAATTAAATTCAGTATGCCAGTCTTTTATTCAGGTCAGAACAGAAATGAAAATTAGAGAAAGTGCCAAATTTGATCATTGATAAAAGATACAGCCTAAGATTTTAACTGCTGTATAATAATTTAAACCTTAAACTCTTACAGACATAATGTTTTGAAATATTGATTTTTTAGAAAAATAAAAGCGTTAAGCAAGTATAATTTCATATTTTTCTTGTCCAACTTCTACTATACTTTATACCCCATATCACTGCTCATCTCCCCTTCAGAACTCTTCCAGATTAGTCTTACAATATTTTCATAAGTTAACATGCTCAAATACCTGTCCCCATCACGTATTTTTCATAATCACATACTGCCAGATGCAAACTTTATTATAATACCTTCTTTACCTACTGTTTTCAGAGAAAAAAACTAATACACTTTAATACATTTTCTTTATATCCTTCTAATTTGGGTCTCTAATTTGGTGGTATAGATGGATATATCTAAACCCTTATATATTGTAATTTAAAGCCCACCAAGGAGGAAGGAAACTTACCTTTTAACTTCTTAAAAGCATCCAGAGATCCTGACATACTGTATTCAGAGCAGTAGAAGACTAATAACTTACTTTCACTAGTTATAATGAAGGTCAGAAAACAGTGAAATTACATTTTTTGTCCAGTGATCCAGTCTAGATTCTATAAACACAGAAAATATTCTTCATAAATGAAGTCTCTACTTAGAGACAGGTTCAAAAACTGAGCAGATCCATATTAAAAAAATAACTCAGGAAGTTCTTCAGAAGGACAAAAGCAAGGGTATGCAAGAAGAAATATAAAACAAAAAAAGTGAATATATGGGTAAATCCAAATGAATGTTGACTATCTAAAGTCAGTAATACTAATATCTTATGGGGTTTAAATATGCTTATGAACATAATATGTAAGACCTCACTACTAAAAATTGTAAGACACTATTGAAAGAAGTTAAAAAAGAATTAAATAGAGGAATATGCCATCTTTACCAATTAGAAGACTCCTATTGTTATGTCAATTGTTACTTAAGAAGATTTCAAATTCACTAGAATCCCAATCAAAATTCCAGAAGATTTTTTATGTGGAAACTTAAAAACTGATTCTAGTGTTTCCATGGAAACACTATCAAAGTAGCCATGCAGAATAGTGAAGCTAGAGGATATACACTACCAGATATCAAGACTTACTATAAAATTACAGTAATTAAGATTGTATTGGTGTTAGGTATTAGGCACAAGGATTGGCACAAAGCCACTGCTAAAGTTCTGGAGGGGAAGTATATCTTTACAAATAAATGGTGGTGAATTAATTGGATAACTGCATGAAAAATAGGAATTCTTCCCTGCACCAAGTACAAACATTAATTTGGAGTAGATGGATCATATAGAAATATGGAAATTAAAAGTCTAAATCTTCTGTAAGGAAACAGAGGCCATGATATTAATGACTTTGTGATAGGCAAATATTTATTAAATAAGACATAAAAACCATTAAAACAAAATTATATAAATTAATAGAGTGAAAACAAGTCAGAAACTAAGAAAAAATATTTGAAATGTCTGTGTCCAACAAAGGATTCAAATTCATAACATATTTGAGATTCCATAGGAAAAAAAAGACAACTCAGTTTTAAAATGGTCAAAAGAATAGGCACTTAACAAGCAAAAATATCCAAATGGATAATAAGCATATTAAAACATTCAGCATTGTTACTAAGTAGTGAAATGAAAACTAAAATCACAATGTTATGCCACAACATACCCATAAGCATGACCAAAGTAAAAAGGATGGGCAATACCAAATAATGGGAAGAATGGATCAATTATAAGTTAACACATCATCGATGGGTGTATAATTGGTACAACACTTTTGAAATCTACTTGGCAATATCTAAAGGTAAACATGTACTCAGTAAACATCCAACAATTCCACTCCTATGTGTATTCCTAATGGAAAATGAGTGATGTCTACATACACACACACACACACACACACACACACACAAGATAAATAGCTGGCTAGAGTAAAACATACATACATACACACGGGCATGTATACATGCATACATACAAACAATCATAACACTGGAAGATGCTTCTGGTCAAGAAAGATGGAGGAGATTAATTAACTTTACAGATAGAAAAACTGAGGCACTGAAAGTTAAGGAGATAGATCCTGAATACTGGATGTCTGGGGAATCAGGGACAAAGCCAAGTACTTCCAGACTATGAGTGATATGAATATGAGTGATATGAAAAACAAGATTGGTCTTTCTTTCCACTGGCCTTGGCCCTGTCCCTGGAACATAGCTCAGTGACATATTATTAAATGCATGAAGCAATAGATCATCTCTTATGCCTACAAACCCCAAATTAAAGCTTGTAGAAAAGAGATAAACAAGATGAGGCCAGAATGAACAACTCAAGGTGAAAGTGGGAGGGAGATAGTAATTCCATCTATTCCACATCCCACTATAAGACCTTCTCCACAAGGTCAATAAAAAAGGGGGTAAAGTGGAACAAATGTATTGTCTAGATGTTTGGGGAAAGTGGCGCAAAGCTATTTTTTAAACCATATTAAATATGTGGGGGAAAAACTATCTGAAACCAAATTGGTTACAGTAATTCCCTCTCAGAAAATACTTTGAATATTATATATTTCTGCAGTGATGAAACTTTTTATAAGAAGCACTTTTATGTTTCATATAAGTTGCAATAAAAAAAATTTCTTAAAAGACTAAAATAAATGTAGAATTTTATGACAGCAAGAGCAAGAATGCAGAAAAAGGATAAATGGTTTTAAGATGTTTTAAATGTTCTAAGGCCCTTACTTTGTCTGGAAAGTAAAAGTATCGATTTACATTAGTCTTTAATAAGTCAGGTTGAATATTGTAATATCTAGAATAACCATTAAAAGAGTAGTAAAAAATGAATATAAGTAATAGCACGGGAGAAATTGAATAATAAAAAGTACTCAAATTTTCTATAAGAAGGCAAGAAAGAAAAAAGAAAATGTGCCTAGAACAGTTGGGACAAATAGAAAACACATAGTCAGATAACAGATTAAACCCAAATATATCAGTGGAATTATTGGATCATTTGGTATTTCTACTTTTAACTTTTTGAGAAACCCCCACACTGTTTTCCAGTGACTGTACCAGTTTACATTCCCAGCAACAGTGCATGAAGTTTCCTTTTTCTCCACATCCTTGCCAATACTTGTTATTTCTTGTCCTTTTTATTTTAGCCACTTTAACAGATATAAGGTGATACCTCATTGTGGTTTTGATTTGCATTTCCTTGATAATTAGTGATGTTGAGCATCTTTTCATGTATCTGTTGGCCACACTATATGGTTTCATTCATATGTGGAATCTAAAAAACAAAGCAAATCAATAAATAAACAAGAAGCAGAATTAGACCTGTAAATACAGAGAGCAAATTGGTGGTTTCCAGAGGGGTGGGGGGCCAAAGCTGGGCAAAATGGGTGAAGGGGAGTGGGAGATACAGGCTTCCAGTTATGGAATGAATAAGTCCTAGGAATCAAAGGCCTATAAATATAAATATAAATGTAAATATAAATATAAATAAAAGAAATATAGTCAATGATATTGTAATAGCACTGTATGATGACAGATGGTAGCTGCACTTGTGTTAAGCATAGCATAACATACAGAGAAGTTGAATCACTGTGTTGTACACCTGAAACTAATGTAACTTTGTGTCAACTATACTCAAGTAACAAATTAAAAAATACATATCAGTAGTTATATTAAATTTAAGTGAATTAAATACTCTAAGTAAAATATATGCTGCTTACAGAAGACACATGTTAAATGTAAATTTGTAAAAAAGTTAAAAGAGAAAGGGTGTAAAAAGACATACCATGAAAACATCAAAAAATGTACAACTGGTGTAACTATATTTATATCAAACAAAGTAAAGTTTATGACAAGTAGTATTGCCATAAAGAAATTTCATAATAATTAAAGTGTCAATCCATAAAGATTTTTAAATTATAAATTTTATGGATTTATTCAAATGAGTCTATTCACATAACTTCTTGGCAAAATAGTAATAAATAATAAAATGATAAAGGTCCAAGATTCTTTCTTATGAAGTGAAGTACTTGGGCAAGGCAGATATTTTTCCTATGCAGAGTGTTTTTCCCACTTGATTCAAAGCTATGTTCCCAAACATGGAGGCTGGCATTCTTCTGAGTGCCAGATGCATTTTACATGTGTATGATTTGTCTCGCCATATTAATTATAAGATCTTTGAATATGGATCTTGTTTGTAATTGTTTGTATCTTTCACACCATGTAGCAGAGTACTTACACATAATACATGTTCAAAAAATAATGGCTGATTGACTAAATAGATAGAAGTTTGTGGTATCTTCCATGAGATCTGCTATTTTTCTCCTGCCATGGAGCTTTTAAAATCTTTTTTTGTTTTATAATAATTAGCTGTGGCTAGACACAACAGGTATTATATTTTCATATTATGGATGAAAAGTTATATTGATTGGCCATTAAAACATCCAGAAATTAGAAAGGGCTTAGTTAGCTTATAAATAAACAAAGTTGATTTTCAAAGCTACTTTTTCTATTTCATTGCATGTAATATCCAATACAATAATTATTGTTAATTTCTATGTTTTCTATGTTCACTAAACATAAGAATTATAATCAATTCTCAATCAGAATTTTACAGCTCTTCTACATCTTCTCTATCCCCAACGTCTCCCTCTCAGAAGGCCCTTTCTTAGTCTATAAACTCAGTAAAGTCATACCCCCAAAATAAAAACTGAAGAAAAAAAAAAAGCAAAGACACAACAATAAGACCTTACTTTTCAACCCAGTATTCTCCTCGGGAGTTTTTCATCCACTCTGGTGGAAAAAAACTCTGTATTCATTGTCTCTTTTTTACTCCTAGAAGCTTTGCCAACAGGATTCTGTTTCCAACAGTGTTAATGCCGAACTTCCTACACTCCTATCTTTTTAGTCTTTTCCCCAACCAACCTGTCCCTTGAAACTCTCCCCCAAATTAATTCCCATTGTCCTAAAGTTTCCTTAGATGCCCATTTTGTTTTATTTATTTTTTAGTTTACTAAGAAAGCTCTTTTCACTATATCTGGTCCTTCTAAGCCGGCAGACCGCCAAAGTTAGAGATAGAATTCTCTTCTCTTCTCACCCTTCACAGACTCTGGGACCTCATCAGCCCTGGCAACATCATGATTTATTTCTATGTGAGTGATTCCCAAGTTTCACTTATAACCCTACACCTCTCTCTGCCTGCTAAACACTGCCATACAACTGTCTTACTAATTTTTTTTGAGTTTTCAATTAGTTTATTTTATTTATTTATTATGTTATGCTAATCACCACACATTACATCATTAGTTTTTTTAAATAATTTTTTATTGTTATGTTAATCACCATACATTGCATCATTAGTTTTTGATGTAGTGTTCCATGGTTCATTGTTTGCGTATAACACCCAGTGCTCCACGCAGAATGTGCCCTCTTTAATACCCATCACCAGGCTAACCCATGCCCCACCCCCCTCTCCTCTAGAACCCTCAGTTTGTTTCTCAGAGTCCATCTTCTCTCATGGTTCATCTCCCCCTCCAATTTCCCCCCCTGCATTTTTCCCTTCCTGCT